CCTATTAATTTAAGATCCCTATTTGTCGTATTTTAGATCCCTGTTCATTCTGAGTTTGGGAATAGGTCCCACTCAGTTCCTAGAAGAAGGTTTCAAATACCTTGCAAGAGGTGCTAGGGCTAGGTCCATGTCTTAGCATCCTAGCAGGGTTCGTTTTACTGGAAAGGATATTTCCCCTTTGTGCCATTTAAGCCAGAAGAAATGCTTGACACGTGGAAAWGTTTCATACGCCGCAGGACTCGATCGTCTCATGCCCACGGGGTGCCCGCTGGCCTGACAGGAAGCCGGAGCACGCGGACGTGCCGGGGGAAGAGCAGCCAGCCGGCGCCTCCTTTACTTTTAGCGTGGGTCTAGAGCTGCYACTGGCTGGGTCAGGAGCAGCCCGCAATGTCGAGCTGGGTTTTCAGCTTAGGGCACTAAAGAGAAGAAATGATGGCCCCACCAGGAGCAAGCACTAGATTGTGACCAAAGTCGAGTTATTGGCCAAATGGGAAGGTTTGCAGGGCTGCCCGAATCTGAGCAGTGCAAAGAAGAGCAGTCCTTAATGTACGGGAGAGCTTGGTGCCATCGGAGGCAGTCCGGCATCTCCGTCAAGCTTCTTCCACGAGCTGGGGATGATCCACATGGAGGGGCTGCAAAGTAATGGCTGCTGCTGCCGCATGGAGACTGGGGCAATGCCCACGTGAAGCTTTGCAAAATTCTCATCATTCTCCACTTAAAAACTGTGGCATAAAATTTTCCAAAATACTGGCGTTTCAGATGAAGCCATAGAGACTACAAGGACTTCTGCACTCCAACAAAATGAAACTATAGCGGCAAACCAAACAGAATTTCACTCAAAATTTATCTATATTTCTGTTTTCTTCCTTTCTTTCTTTTTTAAAGACCGGTACATTTTGCCCAAGTGTTAATGCATTTRTGCCAGAGCTTGCAAAAACTGGAGCTGGCCAAGTGGCTGTCTTGCAGTCCTTACATTTTCAGTAAAAACGTGGTCCCCGGCTTTAGTTTCAGTAAATGAAGGCCGTGTACAATAGCTAAAGACAAATGTGCYTGGGAGGCTTGGGTACATTATTTCCTGTCAGCAAATCCTCCTTTTGATTTCACGTGTTCACTTTTCCACGTGGAAGCGAAGGGACAAACTGCTTTTGGTGGTTGCAGCCCCTTTGTTTTGGTCTCCTTCCTTCCTTGCAGCGGCTCACGTGGCCTGGCTGGGAGAGCCCACAATATCAGGAGATCTGTGGAAAATAACCGCGATTTTGTTGTTGTCTAATGACATCTGTGCCAGTTCAGAATCCCTTTTGATGGTGAATATCGTGTATTTGGGTGAGCTGCTTTATCCCACTTCACATGGAGGTTATTATCAGTTTTATCTCCAAGTACTCGTCCGCTGCAGCCCGAGTACAAAGCTGCCTGTAACCCCACTGCATCTGACAATGAATAGATCATTGATACCCAGCTAAGTGGAAATAATTTTCTATGGCAATGCGGAAGAATTTAAAGCCACATCACCCTAACGGCCGGTGATTTCCTGGCATTTACCGATTAAATTGGTTATTTGTGAAATGATTGCCCTGTAGCACGCACTTTAGATGGAGTGGGCAAATCCAAYGTGGTTTTTTGCAGGTTTGTATGCACTTGTTCCTCCTTACACGCATGCATAACATTTTATGTTTGTATATACATAGCATATGCAGCATATAACTGAGGTACATTAAAATACATGTAATGTTTATGCAACACTTACACATTTGACAGTCTTGCCACTGCAGATGGGAGGTTTTGAACTTCTTGTTTCACTTTTCTCAAAGTGAAATAAAACTTCCCTTTACTTTTGATTTAGCTGGAAATAMAACTTTCCTTTCCTTTTGATTTAGCTTGCTCCTTCCTGCTAGTAGAAGAAAAAAGCTTCGTGCTTTTAACTCCTATGATGTTAATTAAGTGTGTCTGAAGCTTTATCAGTTGAGTGARCCAGGAGAACATCAGTCGCATCTAAGAACTCGGAATTAATGCCAACATTGTGATTTTACTGTATTTGCAGGTAATGGTACAGACCAGCTTTGACTCTCTTACAGTGGTAGCCTTGCCTTGCTTTGCAGCCTAAACCTCTGGTAAATATTTTGCAAATTATTAGGCAACCAGTGGCAATGTATGCAATTACCTCTTCTCGTTTGGCGCCTCCATTTGATTATTTTCCTGCTATCATGTGTAACACGAAACCGTCTATTAGGAGGTTACAGAATATGTAAATATCGAACTTAGGAACAATACGTGGAGACCAGGGGACTGTTCCTCTTTCTAAAGAGGCGGCAAATAAAGGAATAATTGTTAGCCACGGCCTTTCATTTCCTCGCAAGCAGCGACTGCGTTTGCAAGCCTCCGAAACACAAGCCCACCGGTGGCACCCAAGTGGCTCCTTTCAACGCGCCTCCAAACCTCCAGCCACGTTTAACAGCTCAGATGTATTTACGGCTGTAATTGGAAACATTAATTATGATAATGCGCTGACTTCTTTTGTAACAGGCTGCTCAGGAGCCCGGCGGTGCCCCTTTTGGTCCTGCTGTAAAACATGCTTTGCAGCTTGGAGAATTTCGCTGCCTTTCGTTCTCCTTTGGGCTTTGTGGAAATTTCCTTTCCAGAAGGAAGACGTCTTTCCCCCTTCTGTGTGTGCTGATGCTTTTCCTTGCTGTCCCCGTTTGTTTTTTCCCTTCCCTCCTGGTTGTCAGTTCGGGGCCGTGTGCGAGGGCTCGCACTGACTCGGGATCTATTTGCAGGAGGAATTTGGTGCTTTGGACACAGGGCGAGCGGCGCCCACAGGGGCTCTTCCCTCTTCCCCCACTCCTCAGCAGCGGGAGCTGGCGGAGAGGGTGGGTATATCCCTGCCTTCTTCGGTGGCTCTGCTTTTAGGAGCCTTTTTGAGGTAGATTTAGCAACCTGGAAGATAAATCCGTGGCTGTTTTTGAGAGGCCTCAGTTACTGCTCTGCCYGTGTCCTGCCCTGTGAGCGAGGGCCGCCTGCGTGAGGGGGAGGCGCTTTCACGATCCCCTCCTTAGCTGTGGAAAAACAAGGCCAAGCTGTCAAGATACCTGGCTTTGCCCCGCGAGCCTTTAAAACGAGTGACAAAAGGGCTTTATTTTTGTTTTTTCTTGTTTTGTTTTTTAGAGTTGTGTTTTTCTGTGCGACGGCGGAGATTAGCCAAAAAAAAAAGTGGAATTTTTATTAGGACATGAAAAGGTCTCTAGTGACCCTTGAAAGTGGACAAAAGGGTAGCACAATAAGTGACAGAGCTCTAACGAGGGTGGAGGGCATTCCAGGAAAAAAAGAAATTAAATCCTTTAATTTTTTTTCGGCTTGCCATTTTCTGACAGCTTATCAAGTGCTTGGGACTTGTTTGTTTTGGCGTTCGGCTCGTTCATTGTGGGCAGCCGGGACTTTGTTCTTCTTTGTGGTTTCCAAAACCTGATTGTGTTTATCCTAGGCTGTGGGAAAAGTGTATATTCCTGTTTCCTTTATAAAAGTAAACGTCAGGTTTTGTATGAAATTTTATTTCCCATATTTTCCATCCCACTAATCATTATTGTTGAAATATGTCAGGCTTTGGCACATCACCCTTTGTTTTCATATGATTGTACAGATTGTGGTGTCAGTGTGTGACCCGTTAAGTCAAAAAATAAGCATGTTTGGGCTGTAGTAATTATTACTTCATAAAGTGTAGCCAAGGAACGAGCACCATGATTAAAAGGGGACTGGGATTTAATTTACTGACATTTAAATTGTTTGTAGGGTTTTCTAGCTATTGTTACTTGCCATTTTCTCACTCGGTCTAGAGAAGACAACACTAAAGACAAGCCTGTAGTCCTCAGATACCTGAAGTGTGATGGTAAGGAGAAAGGGAATTATCCGTGTTCTGTGTCTGTGAGGAGTAAGGGGAGAATGGAGGGAGTTTGGGTGCAGTAAGGGATATTTTTATCACATATTTAGAAGAAACTGTCTAATGGTGAGGATGCTGACTGCTGGGCTAAGTTGCTCATGGGGGCTCTGAAATCTCTGCACCTGGAGGATTTCAGGAGCAGGTCAGACACGCACTATTTGGGAGCGACTTAGGTTTGTTTGATCCTGCCTGGGATGTCAGACTAGAGAAAAGGTCTCTCGAGAAGATTTGCAGCCCCATTCCTAGGACTAACTGTGTGTAAAACGCTGCTTTAGTCTGCTCTCTGAGTACAGCAGTTTGCATTTTGTCCCCACCTTGTCCAGCCCGGGCCTCTGGGTTTGCCTGGGTCAGCGTGCGCGCGTCAGGACTGCGCTCCTTGCCCGGGACCTGAGCCTGGTGCCTTAACAGCACTCAGCAGAAGGGAGAAAAAGCTTTTCCAATGGAAAGAGGAGAAGACTCACAAAAGGGAAGTGCACCTCGCTGTGTTTCCCGTGTTTAGATGATAGATACTATTATATCAATAGCGTATTTTCTTTCGCATTGTCTTGTGGCTTACTGGCAATATAATATCTGAAGGATGTTTAGAAACTTCAACTTGCACAGTGGGTAACCAAACATTTTATAAGGTTATTATTTTCTCTTTTGCTCAAAGAGGCCTCGTTGGAGGTTTGCATTTTAAAAAGAGATTAAACTGGCTCTCTCATTACAGCAGAATGAAGATGATACTAAATGTGAGTAATAAGAACGCAGGATCACAGACATTTATGGATGACAAAAGCCTCGTTATTCAAAACACCGATCATTCTGCAAGCCCAAGATTGTTCTGTGTGATACATGGTCACATTTGTTTTCCTTGTTCTTCAAAGCAAATTTTATAGAATTGACTGAAGCTAAAACAAAACCTGAGTTTGAACTCGTTTTTTACACTCGTGGAGGAAATTGTTAYGTTTGATTACATGTCATTTTGTGTACTAGATTAGTTTGGATTAGTTTGAGGGCAGTGGACACACAGAAAGCGAAATTTCAGGTTGCTGAGAAGCCTCTAATTAGTTTCTACATCTGTTTCTTTCAGCGCCTTTCTCGGGATGCATCTGGAAACCTAAGCATTCAGTTTCTTGGCACAGTGGTAAGTACAGAGCAGCACCACCAAGAATTATGCTGATAGAAGCCTGCRATGCAAACAGTAGATAGATAAAGGACACTGGCAGCATGTTTAAGCCTGTGTTTGTGAGTATGGGTATTACACAGAAATGTTCAGAGCTTAAAGGCAAATCTCTGAAGCTGACTTTCAATGAATGGTGCACAGTACCTGCCTCCTGCATCTCCACTGATTGGAGATGTCCCTCATCATTGAGACTGTCCCTGCTTCATTCGCAGGAGTTGAGAGGAATAGGGCACAGACATGTAATTTTATTGCCAGGTTCTCAGGTTTTGGTGCACTTCCAGTGCTCTTTCCCAGCACCCCAACTTCCTGCTCTTTCTTGCTTCACCATGCTGTGAACCCTCACATCCCAAAGGTCTGTTGGTAACCATCATATAAAAAAAATACCTGTTTAGTGATGCAGCATGTTCTGTCCCTTCCTCTCTAGCCAAGTGTGATAGCTCTGTAGCTCACCCAGATTTACTTGCTATGGAGAAGTAGATTTAAAATTCTGTTCAGATCTTGGGCCATTTGACAGAACTTATTCAATAAAATAGATTTTCGCCTGCTATTATCCTGAGCAATGAGTTGTAACGTAGAAGCCAGAGTTTTGTTTTATTTGCTGGATGCTTAGAAACATGTGTGATTGAAGCAAGACCTTAATTCCGTGAGTTGCATGATTCAAATGGTTTTAAAGTGCTGTCACTGGATTTTTCCTCATGCACTTAAGAATAGTTTTGAAAATTAAATAAAATTTAGGTATCCTTTAAGCAGTCTTGATCGTTGCTAACAGGTTTCGTAGTGATATTAACAGAGAAAAGCCTTTGAATGTAAGTTCTCTATAGAACKTGGTCCTGACATCTCCATGCCCTAGGTATTCTGGACAAAAACAGATGAAGATTGCATGTGACAATGCCTTCATTTTATTTGCTTGTGATTAGTTTCTTCCACAAGTCCTATGAAGCCATTTGGAGGAGGTGTAATGAGTTAGGAGTGAACTTGCTAAGAATACATGTGGACTTGCACGTTCTTTTCTGGGGATGAAAAGTGCCATAGTATTTTTTTCTTTAAATACATTTACATACATATGAATGTGTGTGTGTCCTGTTCAAACAGAGTGGTAGTTATAAATAAAAAAGAAAAGTAAGTTTGGAGGCAGCAGTGTGCCCTGGTGGCCAGGAAGGCCAACGGGATCCTGGGGTGCATGAAGAAGAGCGTCTCCAGCAGGTCGAGGGAAGTGATCATCCCCCTCTACTCAGCCCTGGTGAGGCCACATCTGGAGTACTGTGTCCAGTTCTGGGCTCCCCAGTACAAGAGGGATGTGGAGCTGCTGGAGAGAGTCCAGCACAGGGCTACGAGGATGATCAGGGGCCTGGAACATCTGCCCTATGAGCAAAGGCTGAGAGAGCTGGGCCTGTTCAGCCTGGAGAAGAGAAGGCTGAGGGGGGACCTGATCAGTGTCTATAAATACCTCAAGGGAGGCAGTGAGGAGGAGGGGGCGGCCTCTTTTCAGTGGTGGACAGCGATAGGACTGGAGGAAACGGCCACAAGCTGAGGCACCAAAAGTTCCACAGGAACTTGAGAAAACATTTCTTGACAGGGAGGGTGCCAGAGCCCTGGCACAGGCTGCCCAGGGAGGCTGTGGAGTCTCCTTCTCTGGAGATCTTCCCAAGCCGCCTGGATGCCGCCCTGTGCCCCGTGCTCTGGGTGTCCCTGCTGGAGCAGGGGGTTGGACTGGATSATCTCTAGAGATTCCTTCCAACCTCAACCATTCTGGGATTCTGTGATTTGTGATGTTGCTTCCTCCAACATGGGCAAGGTTGCTGCTATCTGATCCGATGGCCTTCTGTGATTAGAAAGTAATTATTCCAAGTAGATAAGATATAAACTCCAATGCAGCTTGGTAAAGTAATATTGAAAATATCTTATTAATCAACACTCTGTGGATAGGTGCTGCAGTGCTGTGAAAATTCTAATTATTTAGTGACATTGAAAATAACTTTTTTAAAGKGACATATAAAACCATTGCGTGTTCATACATTAGAAGTGCCACAGACACCCCCTTAAAGATTAAAACTCTTGTACTGAATCATGCACAAAAGGAAAGCAAGGCAAAAGAGGCCACGGTTTTGATTTACTTTCACTATTGGGATATTAGCGATAAAACAGTTAAAACGTAGATAGACTGACAGATATGAGAGCTAGTGGATATATATCAAATCTTACTGATGGGCTTATATGATGTTTCTTGGATCCTAGTTATTTGGGCTAAGTGATTAACACTGAAGTTCTCAAGGGAGCTCAAAGGAAAAGCCTTTAGTACTTTATTCACAGGCTGTGATTCAAGTCAAGTTACACATATATCTTGCTGGTTAAATCCAGAGAGAGAACTTCCGTGAGCAGCGTAGAGAAGCAGTAATAAATCCACTTCCCAGGCTCTTCGTGTTCAGAAGCAGAAATAATGGCTGGGGTCCTCCAGAGCAGTGGGCAGCACCAATGCTTGGCCAGGTTGAAGGCAGAGGGCTCCAGAAATCCTTGCACAGAGGGTTTGGTCTGGCTCCTCTTTTCCCACAAACCCCAGTCCAGAGTTTGTGTCCATATTTCCCACAGTTCTAGCCTGCTGGGCTCGTCCTCCTTTTTCCTTGAAAGGGATTTACTTCTTTATCTTAATTTGCTTCTTGCTTTCTTAGGACTTCAACATACTGCCCTTAATTTAGACACGTGATGGGGGAGGAATAGCTTTTCTCTGCAATAAGATCCTCCACATCTTGTCTATGCATACAGACCTGTGTAGTCTAACACGTGTGTACCTGAGTGTATATGTGTACATGTATGCAGAAAGTGTAAATGATCAGTCAGAAAAGATTGGCGTCTCCAGGGAAGGCYCTCAGGTTGTTTGCTCACCATTGTGTACATCTTACTAAGCCTTTACTAACACAGAAGCGCCATCAAGACAATCTAGACGTGTGAAAGGAATATTTAGCAGTAAGAAACTCGGGTTTCTCATTGCTATTATATTGTATTATTATGAATGTAATCAGGTTGTAAAATTAGAAAACTAGCATTCTGCTCTTTTTTGTTTTTATCTTAGAAGAACCTACGTGTAGCTGTGAGCTTTGAGCTGCGCTGCTTGTGACAGGGGCAGATTTGGATGGTGCTTGAGTGGTGGCGAGCAGCACGGTGCTGCGGTGCACACACCGCTGCCCTGTCCCTCAAAACGTGTTTTTAGAACCAGCTGATMCCTCGCTTAACCAGAAGGGCAGCAGCTTAGGTAAACAGCTTCCCTTGATTTTGTGACATGAGAGAGGGGAAGCAGTTCTGCTGCTGGATGTTGCCAAGACCCAAGGCTGTGCTTCAGGAAGCCGGTTGACACGCTGAGGAGAACTGAAAGGTTTGTTCCTCTGCTGCACATCTCCTTTGTATCCCATWTAGCTAGTTGAAGGACAGGGAAAACTACATTCCAGCGGAAAGACAGCAGTTTAATATGAATCCAGCTGCATAACATATGACAAGCATGTGGACAGTAGCACGAGTAGTTCTGTTAATGTGGCAGCAAAGAGGCATATTTCTGTTGTTTCAAAGGAGAGTGGGGAAAATCACACTGCTCCTCCCAGTGAAATCACAGCTTTGAATGTCTGCTGCTAGCATCGTTCAGGGGGGCTGCGTGACTATTTAATAGTGTTTTCATTCCTTTCWGGTCATGACTAGGAATTCTTTGTCCCTTGAGCCTTGCTCCTCTCTTCAGATTCTAGTGGCAGCTAGAGAGCGTGTTTGCTGCAGAATGGTTTTCAGCAGAGTGTTAAGAGGGGCACGGATGGTATAGGAAGGACTCCCATATGCTACTGGAGAACATGAAAAGATATTTCTGCCCAAAGAGCAAGCAACTGTTGTAGTCTTTTAGCTGTAAGAATTGGATGATGAATAGGAAACTACACTGATTTGTTTTAATTTTTTTGAGCTGATGATAACATTTTGAGTACTAATTAAATTATTTCAGAAGGAATCCTGCTTATAGTACCGAGGCGCTGCAAGGCTGTTTGCAGCCTTATTGCTTTGCTGTGGTGGGCATTACTAGATATCATGTGGTCACTGAGTAGCTRTTCTGGCACTTTCAGTGAGAATTAGTTTATTTGGTAATATCCTTACTATAACACAGAATAATCTTATTGTGTTGTATGTTCTAAAAGAAAAGGGAAGGAAGACAATCTGTGCTTCAGGTGAATGGCCAGAACCACGTCCCAAGGCAATATTGCCTGGAACAAGAAGATGGCACTTCCTGGGCCCTCTCTGCTGTGGAATACACAGCTGATCTAAGTGGGTTGGTAACAAACAAAAGTCCTATTAAAACAAATACGAGGGTGTAATCACCATCCTCTGTCAGTCCCATCCTCGATGGAGGGCTCTTTGCCACCTCTGCTTTACAAAACATCTGCAGTTCGGCTGGAGAGGTGTGGGCCCTTGCATGGTTGCTCATAAATAGCTAATGCTGAGCTTCCCTCTMTATTTTTTGACACTTCTTTAATGTCATGCAGAGATCCTTCCTCCCGTTGCCTCTGCATCTGCAGACCCACACTGAAAGCAGTTGGCTTAAGAGAACTAGTCTCTGTCAAGCCTAGCTTACATTCTTACTTAGCATACATTCTAGTATGCTTTTTACTTACTTAGCACACATTCTAGTACAACTGTCACCATTCACTATCAATAATTTTTTATACTTTCTTACCTATCCTACACAGTCAAGGTTCATTAATTATCTGTATTGTTTATGAAGCTGGTTGGAAATGGACAGTTATTATATAGAGGCATTCCTCCATATTTTCACCTCTACTTTTGGGGTTTCTTGTATGCAGGGTAGGCCTAAGAGCTGGATCACAGGTCAAGGTATTTGCTCTACTTCTCTCTGCTGGCTCCTCTTCTCACTCCCCCCTGCCATGATTTGTCTGCTTTTGCTTCAACAGCAAACTTTCAACTTTCCTGTCCTATTA